TCGGCTCTCGAGCACTACCCGGCGCTGGAGCGCCTCGGCACGCAAAGCACCACCCTAGGCTTGTTAGGCTTGATGGCTTGAATCGACGGCAAGGCTGAAGCGGCCTCCGGACTAGACCGCCCGCACTGCAGGAGCCTGGAGATCATCAACTGTGAGCTCCGCCCGAAGCTCCCGCTGCTGCTGAAGGCCCCTTTTTTCTTTGCGCATTTTCCGAATTCCGCCGTGTTCTGCATGCCGAAGCCAGCCGCAGCATGCCGCAGCCCAGACACTTCTCGGCAGGCCCTGGAGAAGATCAAGCTTAAGCTTCGGCAGCTCCACCTGCAGCAGAACCAGCTGTTTGAGGAGGGCACCCGCCAGGTCATCGAGGCCCACCAGTTGCCGATGCACAGATGCATCATGGAAGCTCAACGATGCACTCCAGGCCTTGGCTTTGCAGTCCAACGGGACGCTTGAGGCACTGAGTCTCGGTTACGACGGCATCGGCGTCGCTAATGTCAAGGCTTTGGCCGAGGCCTTCGAGCTCTGACATAGCAGGGATCGGATTCAGAGATTTGCAGACCGAAGCTTCAGCTCTGCACGTAGTTGCACAGGCCTTTCAAGGCTTCTGCTGAAAGGAAGAGTCGCTGTGGCTGCGAGCAAACCCCGTCATCGCGTGCAGGCAATCAAGCACAATCGGACCCTCAAGCAGCTGAGCCTTGCGGGAACCATACTCCCGGAGGAAGGCGCTTTCGCCCTTCTTGAGGCTGGCAGCTACTATTGTACTTGCAGCAAGCTCACAGCAACCCCAGAAACCTTTTCCTAAGCCCTAAACCTCTCTTTTCCGGCGAGTCTAGAGCACCGCCCTGCAGGCTCTCCAAACAAGCTGCGTGGAGCCGCCGGTCGATCTGACGGACTGCGATTGGGGCGATTTGGGCAAGGCCCACGTGGCCCTGGCCAGGGCCCTCCGGACCGGCCAGGCGGGGTGACGAGAGCTCGTGGTGTGGCTTTTTGCCGCTCTTCCTCTCACAGCGTCCCATCTTCTCTGGCTGTCGCTGTGGGTGCCTTTTCTCTTCAGGTGAAGGGCACCGTCACCCACCCAGCGCTGCAGTTCCTGTCCAAGTTGGAGGCTCGCGTGCTCTCTTTGAAGCGTGGCGAGTTCTTCATCACTTCGGGCCCGACCGAATGAAGTCGACGGCAGGGTTCTGAAGGGCAAATTCAAAGTGTTTCCCAGAGAAGCGTGGAAACCGGAACCCCTCCACCACCCACCCGACACGACCTTGCAGTCACCTTTGCTCAGCACAATCGCTCGCTTCCTGGTCGAAACGGAGCTCTTCGGACAGCGCCCGCGGCCGCGGCCCGGCGCCGCCGCCGCACGCAGGACTACACACTCACAGAGCTCGAGGAAGCGCAGAAGCTCGAGCTCGTTCTCAACGGCCGCGGGCTCAGCTTCCGGGAGGCCCCAGGCCCAGGCCCGCACCATGCGTGCGCTCATCGAGGCGACGGCGAGTTCCGGAAGCTCTTCGAGCCACTCTGCCGGGCCCTGCCAGAGCTCGCGAAACTTCGAGAGCTCTCCCTCGACCTCTCCTGGAGCGATATCGGCCCCCGCCCCGGCGGCCTTTTCGGAGTGCGCGGAGCGGGAAGAATCCTCCTCCTTGCGCTGGCAGGCGATGGCGAGGCCCGGGCCCTGGCCGCGGGCCTCGGCCAACGAAAGGGGCTGGAGCGGCTGGAGTTGAATCTGGATGCCAACTCCATGGGCCGGGGGCCTCAGCCGCGCTCCTCGTCGCTTTGATTTCCAGCTTGTTGGCGGCCGCCTCCCACTTGGGGTTGGGCCTGCAAGCCGACCCCATCCATGTATCCATCTCCGTTCTTATCAGTTTCTTGCTATTTAGAGAATAGAGATAGCCGTGGAGACGTCTAGAGACCTTCTTGTTTGCTACTGTAAACTGCATCCAGTGTACGCAGCGCAACATGAAGTCCCAAGCCCGGCTCATCATAGCCTGCTCCCGAACGGCCTCGACTCCCGTGATGTGCTTCCGAGTCTTGGATTCCCGCGGCGGCTTTCTTGAGATTTTCGATTCCGAAAACCCTTCTGCCCAAATGCCCGTTCCCGTCCCTTCGGGAAGGCCGGCAATTTCCTTCCTGTGCCTCGCGACTTTTTCCAGCTGAAGGGGCAGCTGGAAGCAGCACTTGAGCAGTCACGCCCCTGCGGGCATCAAGGCGAGGAGGGCGCAAAGGCCGTGGCCTCCGCCCTCGCCCGGCTGACGGAGCTCAAGGAGCTCGAGTTGAACCTGGATGGGAACAAGATCGGCCCGGGGCCTCGGAGGGCGCTCTGCTCAGACCCCGCAGAAGTCGAAGCCCGAGAGCTGCAGTTGCTTGGGACGGCGTATCATTGTGCCCTTAGCCTCAAAGCGACCCGGGGGCGGAGCGTTGCAGCTTGGGCCTCACCTCTCTGTCGCCCGAGGTGATGCAGGCGCCGCAGCTGTGGCTGAGAGCCTGCGCCATCTGCAGCAGCTCACGAGGCTCAGAGTTGGGCTGTCTGGCAGCGCGCTCAGCCCGGGCCTCGAGGTCTGTTAAGCGGCCTTCTAGGCCTGGCCCCACGATCCACGTTCAGGCGATCCAAGCCTTGGATCCCTGACCTCAGTGCAGCCCATCCCCACGCCGAAGTTTGAAGAGACGGGTTTCTGCCGATATGTCCACCCCGACTCCCTCTACCGCAGATTCTACCGGAAGTGGCGGGCTCTGCCTGCCTCCGGCCGAGGCGGTGCTGGCGCCACCGCAGTGGTGCAGAGCCTGCGAGAGCTGCCGCAGCTCACGGAACTGAACGTTAGTCTGCAAGAGAATGAGCTCGGCCGGGGCCTCGGGGGCTTTGTCAAAGCATCTTGGACCTTGCCACACCATGCCGCAGGCAAAGAGGAGAAGGAAAAGCTCCTGGCCACCTTCGATGCGCTGCCGGTGCGTCAGAAACGCATCGAGCTTTGATCCGAGGCCCGGCCGGGGCCTGGCCCGGAGAGTGGCCGTGGGAGACTTCGGGGCTTGGACTCTTTCGGCTGCGAGGCCTCTGCAGCCTCGGCACGCTGGTGGTGCTTCGGATCTGAAAAAGCAGAGGTCGCGCTGTGGTGGAGTCCGAGCATTCAAACTTGTCGCCGTAGCATTGCAGTCTTGCTTTGGTGTTGGCCTTGGTTCTTTGCTGGCTTGGGACCTTTGAGGACCGGGGTCAGGATCCGACGCTAACACACGGGTCAAGTCGCGGAATTCGGGTTTGAGGCACTCGGTGTCTTGCACCGACCCCAATGTGTACTGTAGCGTCCGAAGCTGAAGAGGGGCTCCGCCGGAGCTGCCTTCTTGCATTTGTGATGTCTCGTGCAGCTCAAGGGCTGTCACAAGGCATTTAAAACAGCTCTGCAAAGCTCAGAAACTCGATCATCTGCCCTGTCCTTGAACCCTCAAGCACCGAGTAGGTCATTGACATGCGACTCCCCAAACTTCGTGCTGCTTGAACTCCAAACTGTGTGGCATGCCATGTCCAAGCGAATTGAATCAAGGAGCTGGTGAAGTCAAATCGTGACATGCTGAAGTAACAATCTTCAACACAGAGCTATCATCGAGGGTGCCCTGGACATTGCAGTGTTCTTCCCAGCGCATGGGCTGCGGAGCCAGCAGTGAGAGCAAGTATGCCAGGCACTGTGGGGCGAAGGTGTTCGGATTCATGAGTATTAGGGGCTTGAACCAACCCCTAAACCGCTCTAACCCCTAAACCCCTAAACCCCAAACCTCTGACCCCCAACCCCTAAACCCGAAGGTGTCTGTCTGACAGAGTTTGCAGTCCTCTGGCAGGATCACAAGTCCTGCAGAAGCTTGGGGCTCGGAGTGGCTGCTTCTCTGCCTTTCTGACATGTCGTTTTCGATTTTGCAGTCTGCTGACAGACCTCAAGTCTTCCAGAAGCTTAGGGCCCTGATGATGGGGGTTGAGATGGGTTGAGTTGAGCACTGTTGAGGATTTTCATCGGAGCTGTGTAAGCTTGGAAGAGCTGAACATCTGTGTCAATCTCGTTGCTTAAGCTCGGGAAGTTGGTGTTTGTCTTGGTATGTTACCGGTTCTTTGATGAGACTTCCTGAGTGATTCGGGTGCTACACTGCACACCTTTGTGCCCACTGCTGGAATCCTTGAAGTCAGCAGAAGTCAGCACTCAGTTATCACCAACAGTATGCCCCAATGCGCTCGGGAAAGCCGTGGAAGATCACATATATGTCCAAGCCCATAAGAACTTTGACTCTTGAACAATCCCTAAACACCCGAAACTCATGAGGCTTGAAACCCCTCAACTTTGGAACCACCCGAGGCGGGGCCCGGCGGCCCGCTGCTCACCGGCTTTGAGCCGACCGTGCGGGGGGTGAAAAAACGCGTGTGTTTTTTGGAGAGGCTGGTTGGGGGCCAGTGGAGGGCCAAGGGGCTTGGGCTTCAAAGAGGCTTTCGATACCTCGCGAGCATCTTCTTCTTCTGATGCCTGAAGCTGGGTTTCAGGTTCTGGAGTTTTTGGGCTATAGGAAGCGGGTCCGTAATTGAGGTTTTGTGGGTTCACGCTCAGCATCCGAAGCTGCAACCGGACAGCCTCCAAGAGCTTGCGACGGAGACCAATGAGGTTTCGTTCCTACAGGCTCTGGCGCAGCCTTCGTTGTGAAAGGCCATGGACCTTGTGGCTGTAAACTTCTCTAAACTATAAACCCCAAATCGACTTGTCACCAAAAGGAGCCCCAGGGCTCAGAGCCGGTCGAAGTCTTCTTAGCGCGCTGTACGTCGAGACTTGGAGGCTGCCGGTCGATGTAGTCGGCGTCGTCGTCATACTGGTACTTAGTACTTAGCAAAGGAGTAGTAGTAGTCGTCGTCGTCGTAGCAGCAGCAGCAGCAGCAGGAGCAGCAGGAGTAGTAGTAGTAGTAGTAGTAGTAGTAGTAGTAGTAGTAGTAGTAGCAGCAGCAGCAGCAGTAGCAAGAGTAGTACTAGCAGTAGCAATAGCAGTAGCAGCAGCAGCAGTAGTAGT